AAATTTATCGAAAATCTTTTAACATGCCAGGCACAGGTCTACACACCCCACGTGCTTTACCACAGCTGTGATGCTCTGCTGGGTCTCTTCCATTTGCACCCGGCAGTGCTGTTCCCCCTTCTCTACCCAGCCCCGTGCCCGGGAGGTTGGCCTCTATGCACTACATCACCAGGCTCCCTTGCTCTCCGGCTTCCAGTCGGGTTTGTCCAGTGGGGAGTCCCAGTAGGAGACAGCGGGAGAGAAGACAGTACGGTCAGGATATTTATCCCATTGGCTCCCGCCCTGCTGGATGGCCTTAGCTGGCTGCGTCCCGCAGCTGCTCCCACACGATTCCCCCTTCCCAGATCCTGGCAACTGTTCTTTCTCCTGCCCCTTCAAGTCTAGGGATACAAACTGTCTTCTAACTAGACCTGGGGTGTCCTGTTATCCTTTGTAGGGTTTAATGACACAATGCCCTTTTAAAATAGCCCCCTTGTCAATTCTTCAAATTCTAATTAGATTTTCCTGACAGAACCTGACCGATACAGGTACTTACCTGACCAGGCAGGTATCAGTATTGTTTCCATTTTAAGGGTGAGGAAACGAGGGTTTAGGTGATGTGCTCAAGGCCACACAGCTACATAAGAGGCAAAGACTCAGTCTAGGGAATCTACTAACAGAGTTTCAAAGACCTTAAAAGGCTGTGAATGCCAGGTTAAACAGAGTGTTTCCATCACCTATAGAGGGTGCCAAACACCCTTCTTTCACTAATCCATTTTTTTTTTAAGATTTTATTTATTTACTTTTAGAGAGGGAAGGGAGGGAGAAAGAGGGAGAGAGAGAAACATCAATGTGCAGTTGCTGGGGGCTGTGGCCCGCAACCCAGGCATGTGCCCTGACTGGGAATCGAACCTGCGATGCTTTGGTTCATAGCCCGCACTCAATCCACTGAGCTACACCAGCCAGGGCACTAATCCATTTTTTAAAAAAGATTTTACGTATTTAGTTTTAGAAAATGGAGAAGGGAAGGAGAAAGAGGGAGAAATATCGATGTGCCAGAGAAACATCAATCAGTTGCCTCTTGCATGCCCAGACAGGGAACCTGACCCACAACCCAGACATGTGTCCCAACCGGGAATCAAACCAGTTACCTTTTGGTTTGTGGGATGATGCTCAACCCACTGAGCCACACCAATCAGGGCTCATTAAATCCATTTTAAGTGACACTTATTTCTATGCTTGTTGAGGCATTAACAAGATTCCTCATCTGCAAAATGAGAGCCTTGCAGAATTGTGGTGGGACTTAGAGAGATGTTGGACACTTCAAGATCTAACTGGAGCTGGGGGTGGAGCATGTGACCAAGGTCCAGCCAACCAGAGCATCCTATTTCCCTTGGTTGCAGTGATTGGTTCAGGAGTGATCCAATCAAAGCCAATGGGATTATTTTCCTGGAATATTTGTAGGACAGGCACTCCCTTCTCTACCAAGTTTCGACTGGGAGAAGCTGAAGCCTGGACATGCTAGGGGCTACCATGTGGATAAAGGACCCCCCAGTCAAGGAAGCAGAACCAAGAAATGGAGAGAAAGTGAGTTTCAGGATACCATTTGATCTCAGCAGTATCTTAAATCCACGGAATCCTTTGGATGATTTTCTTATCTGAGGCAATATAGTCCCTTTTTCCCTTATGATAGAGTCCCAACTGTGTCACGTGCAGTGGAAATGGTCCTGCCACAGTGGAAGAAGACAGCTTGGAGTGGGAAGAGGAGTAGGGGTGGCAGCAGTCAGGTGAACTTCTATTCTTCCAGCAAGGTCCAACTGAAATGTTACCACCATCTTTGTTCAGCCTTGCAACTGCTTTCCCTGCCATAGTTAGTTGCTCCCTCCACTTCCCTGTGCGCTTAGAAGGTTTGTACACACTTCTGTATTTTTTAAACCTCACTCAAGGATACATTTTGTCAATTTTAGAAAGAAAGGAAGGGAGGGAAGGGAGAGGGAGAATGCAAGAAAGAGAGAAAAACACTGATGTGAGAGAGAAACATCAATCAGTTGCCTCCCACAGGTGCTCCGACTGGGGATTGAACCCAAAACCTAGGTATGTGTACAGGACCACACTCTAACCAACTGAGCCACCTGGCCAGGGATACAGACCTATATTATAGCACCACTTACATGTCTGGGCGGCTGTTATGAGGCAGTGCACAATTTCCCTGAATCTTATTCACTTGGAACTCTTAGTTTTTGTTTTTTTAAAAGACTTTAATTATTTATTTTTAGAGAGAGGGGCAAGAGGAAGAAAGAGGAGAGAGAGGGAGAGAAATATCAGTCAGTTGCCTCTCACAGGCCCCCACTCTGGGGCTGAGCCACGCCAGCTAGGGCTGGAACTCTTTGTTTTTGAAAAGTCATGGCCCAAAATTGATAGTAACTCACTGAAAGTTTTTTGTACAAATAACTAAATGAATGAGACCAGGCAGTAGCAGCAGGAATGGGCAGGAGGAGATGGATGGGGGCCATCCCTGTGGTGCCAACAAAAAGTAATAGCCACCTTAAATCTTTTTTGGAATAGTTAGTTTCAAGATTAATATTAATAACAAAATGTTATTCAGTTGACTTGGACAAAATCCCTGAAGCAAAATTAATAATAGCAGTGATTTGTTGTATGACTTAATGTGCCACGTGTTTTGTATACATCAGACTTAATCTTCACTCCAGCCTGGCGATGGAAGGGTGGTGGCATGTTGTGGCTCCACCAAATCCACTTTACTCTGGGGAATTGAACTGACTCCAGGGGAAGACGTTTTTTAAGCCAATCACAGCAATTCCGTCCTCCTCCACAGTGGCTAGTTCAGGAATGGGCACTGGCTTAATTAGGACCAGCAGGATAAAGCTTATTGCTATGAGAAAGGATGTGAGGAAAAGCGCTTTCTCTGTCCCCTAGCCTGGTGGCTAACTTGGTCGGAGGTCACGCTGTATACATACCTAGGTTGTGGTTTTGATGCCCTGTCTTGGTGGGTATAGGAGGTGACCAATGTGATGTTTCTCACATTGATGTCTCTTTCCCTTCCCCGCTTCCTCTCTCTCTAAAATCAACAAACGGATTCTCGGGCGAGGATTAAAAACAAAAAAGAATGAGGAAGTTTGTGACCTTGGTTGTTCTTGGCAGCCATCTTGAGGACAAGGAGGACAGCAGAGCCAAGAAGATCCTAGAGGAATGGATCCAGGGCTCTCATCATGTCCAGCTTGAAGCTGACCTATGGGAGTTATATGAGCCAAAGGCATACCTCTCAGTCTGAGCTGAGTTTCTGTTATTTCATCCAATTACACGATGAGGAAACCAAGACTTCACAGTAACGTGCACAACAGACTTCAGCTTGTGCTAAGAGCTGGGACTCCACTCCCAGTTGTCGCTTCCAAAAGCCTTTGCTTATCCCACTGAACTGAGCCAAGAAAGGGCAAGTTACTTGGCCTCAGTCCTGATTTATCTGCTTACCTTCTGAGATGGCTTCTCTTGTACATGCAGTTTCTACTGTCTAGAATATTCTATGCCTCCTCTCTTTGACTAGCAAATTATAACATTTCTTTCAGGTTATAGCTTAGAAAAATGTCACTTCCTGATCACCTCCCCACCCCAACCCTGGAGATTAGCTTAGATCCCTATTAACTCTCACGGTGGTTTATATTTTTCTTTCATCCTGTTATCACAATTATAACTGATTACTTATTGTATAATACTTTTAAAACCATTTCTCTGTCTGTTCCATAAGGGCACAAGTGTGTCTGCTTTGCTCAGCACTGAATCCTTGGAATAGTTGTTGTTACTTCGTGGGCAACAATAACTATTTGATGAAAGAGTAAGTGAAAGCTTTCTGGGGTCATGAGTTATATCAGTGGTTCTCCAAGTGTGGGCCTTGGACTTGCACCATGAGCATCACCTGGGAACTTGTTAGGACTGTAAATTATTAGGCTCTATCCCAGACCTACTGAATTAGAGATTCTGGGAGTGGGACTCAGATGGCAATTTGTTTTTTCAAAAGCATTTAAAAAACGATTTTATTTATTTCTTCTTAGAGAGAGGGGAAAGGAAGAAGAGATGGAGGGGAACATCAATATGGGAGGGAAACATTGATGATGGGTTGTACCTCAGCCCTGACCATAGTTGAACTTTGACCTTTTGCTTTGCAGGACGATGCCCAACTGAATGAGCTCCACCAGGTCAGGACGGCAATGTTTTAACAGGCCTGCCAGATGACTCTGATTCACACTGGAGTTTGAAAGGCATTGGGTTATACAGATTTGTTCCAGGCTATGCAGTAGGCACATCTAGCAGCATCTCTGCTGCTACGGATTGTTTCCTGCTTCTATTTCTTAAAATCAACACTTTTACAAGTAACGTGGGTTGGAGAACAGAACAGGAACCAACACATTCTTTGCTATTCCAGAACCCAGGATCTTTGCTGTTCTTTATGCTTGGGTTACGATTCCCACTACTGACTTTATTCTTAAGGTCTCAGTTTAAATTTCCTACTCTTCCCTTCCATTTTCTCTCAGCCCACTGCGTCTGTTGCGTTCACTTTCCTCACAGCGTTCCTCGTTTCTTACAATCAAATCATTCATTTGCTCTTCACTTGTTGCTAATCCGCCTCCTGAGAGCAGGGTCTACAGCAGCCTCGCTTATTGCACTAGTCCTCGCACCCACAGAAACTCCTGGGCCATAGTAGGGCTAACGTGTATGTGGGCTGACTGGATGTAAGCTGTACGAGGACAGAGGCTGCGTGTTGCTGACTTCTAGACTGGTGCTTGGCACGCAGAAGATCTGCTCCCCAAAGATCTGCGGAATGAATGAGCGCACGAAGCGAAAGAGGAAGCAGCCCTTTACCGACATGGCCGCCGGCTCGCGTGGACTGGCGTCAGGCGCGGGGCGGGGCTGAGGGCGTGACCAGAGGGAACCGTCAGGTACGGCCCCGCCCTGCGTTCCCCTCCCCCTGCCCGCCCCGCCTGATTCCGGATTGGTCCGGTTCCAGCGCCGCAGCCCAGCGGCCGCGCCGTAGGGCCACGCCGGGCTCTCGCCACTTCCGGCGCGTTGGGGCTGTTAGTCGGGGGCGGCAGCACTGCACTAGCGGGCGGCACAAGAGTGGACTCGTGCAGGGATGCTTCGGAGGTCGGCGGTGGCTGCGGTAGGGGCTGAGGCGGCGAGGACAGCGCGGGCCCCCGGGCCTCTCCTCTAAGCCAGCCTCTCTCTAGACCGGCCCCTCCGACTGTGCTGCCGAGGCCCTTTCAGCCTCCGTCCCTTCAGCCTCTAGGCCGGGCCCGCCGCTGCTTCTGAACGCGGAGGCCGGGGAGCCCCTGCCTGGGCCCGGAACCTCCCCTCGGGGGTCGGGCCCGGGCGGGGGCCCCCCCGAGCTGCTGCCCTTCTTGCCAGCCTCCGATCCCCATTTCCTGCTTTTTTAGTTAACTTGGAGAGGAGAGGTTGGGTCTTGATGAATTGTTCTGGGCCTCCCTGATGAGGCGGGCCGGGGGGCTGCACTCTTTTTAGAGGGTCTCCGCGGGGCCCGGGTGGGGAAGCGGTTCTCTTTGCATGGGCGGGGGACTTCCCGAATCTGCGGGATCATGACCTGAACTGTGAGAGCGGGACGAATCTGAAGCCCAGCTCACCTGAGCCGCCTCTTCCCCCGGCCAGCATGGTAAGTGGGGTCCTAGCCCTTTCTCTCTCTGGGTGCCCAGCCTGAGGGGGTGCGACCGGGACCCCGGTACTGCTGAGCCATCGCTTCTCCTGGGGAGGGGAGAGGCGCGTGCGGATCTGGGCAGTGACACTTGCATGCAGGGTTTGCGGCCCCGGCTCTGTGCTCCCATCCCCCCATGGATGTCTCTTGGACTGGGAGGGACCTGGAAGCTCAGCAGGCACAATGCTTGCACTGATGTTTGCTTCTCTTACAGTGTAGCTCATGACAGCTACAGTCATTTTTTGAGGGCTTACTGTGGGCCGGCCTTGTGCTAAGTGATTGACATGTGTTGTCTAATTAGGACACCAGCCTTTTGAAGTGGGGAGACCGAGGCACAGAATCAGCTCAAGGTCATTGTTAAGTGCCAGTGGCACGATTTGGTCCCAGGTGGTCTTCCTTCAGAGCTTCTCCTTAGATGCAACACACACACAACTTGCTGGGGTCTTGTTGTAGGTTTGTATGTGGGTAAACGGGATTTGTGATTTGCAGAGGTCACTTAACGTAGATAATAGCAAAGTCAGGAAGGTGCTTTCTTTTGAAACCCAGTCTGCTGTTCTTTCTGCTACATGCTCCAGCTTTTTCATTGGTGGTGCCTGGAAAACTCTTCATCTTTCCAGATCCAGCTCAGAGGTTGTCTCTGCTGAAGATACTTTCCACATTTTCCAGACCCATAGCCACTTTCAATACTCCCTGAGATTTGTGAAGTGTTTATCTTTTGTCGTTTAATTGTTTCTGATCCTCATCTGTCTACTGCCAAAGACTCAGCTTCCTCAAAGATGAAATCTGAACCTTTCTGTGTCCCAACTCTTGGCATGAAGTAAGCCATGGGGAGTGGGTAATGGCCCAGCCTGTGTTTGAGCACCTCCAGTGGCAACAGTGTTCTCAATGCTGCCTGTTGACCCCTGCCAGGCTAGTGGTTTGGTTGAAAAGGGATACAGTGACATCCTCTGAGATACAGATGTTCAGGCCACAGGGATTTTCAGAGCATTCAGGGAGGCTGTGGGTGGTGTGCTCAGGTTCTAGCAGAGAGGAGACCTAAGGCATGAAGATAAGACCCTTATCTTCATGGGGCCCACAGCCAGTCAGATACAATACACCATTAATGCCGGGCAGCACTGTATAGTAGATACCACATGTAGTACAGTGGTAGATCAGTTAAGCCCTCTGTCCCACTTTCTTCATCTACAAAATGTGGAGATTGGAATTCTCTAGTGAATAATCCAAAGGTATGAGAACATGTAGTCAGTGGTGAAAGTAGTGCTGAATATTTTTTGAGAAGATTCTGTTTATTTACTTTTAGAGAGAGGGGAAAGGGGTGAGAAAGAGAGGGAGAGAAACATGTGAGAGATAGATACATCAGTAGGTTGCCTCTCATGCGCCCGCACTGGGGGGACCTGGCCCATAGCCCAGGCATGTGCCCTGACTGGGAATCGAACTTTTCTGTTCACAGGCTGGTGCTCAATCCACTGAGCCACACCAGCTAGGGATGAATATTTATTTATTCGTTCAGTGAATTTGTAAACTGTAAAAACATAATATGAAATTTACCATTTTAACCATTTTAAGTACATTCACATTGTTGTGTATTCACCCCCAGAACTTTTCTCATCTTGCAAAATTGAAACTATACTCATTAAATACCAGCTCCCATTTCCCTTTCCTCGGCCCCTGGTGACCACTATTCTGCTTTCTGTCTCTGTAAATCTGACTACTCTAGGTACCTCATATAAGGGGAGTTATACACCGTTTGTCTTTTTGTGATGGGCTTATTTCACTTAGCACAATGTCCTTGAGGTTCATCCATGTTGTAGCGTGTGTCAGAATTTCCTTCCTTTTTAAGTCTCAGTAATACTCCATTGTGTGGATATATACCACATTTTGTTTATCTATTCATCTTGTTGGTTTCTTCCACCATTTGGCTATTGTAGGTAATACCACTGAGGACATGGGTGTACAAATCTTTCAAGGAATTTTAAATAGCCACTGTATGCCAGGCCCTAGGGAATGTCAGATGAACCAAGACAGACCAAGACAGACACATTTCTCCCCTCAGGGATCTTTGGGAGCAGAATTGGTTATTGACTAAGGTAGAGCAATCTTGTATTCAGGTTTCTTTTTAATTGACAATCAGGAGAGCATGTGAAATGACCTGTAAGTAATTAATTGGTAAAGTAGTTTATAGTCTGGTCTGAACTCATAATTCATGATTACCATGTGCATTTTTTCCTAAAGTAAGTTTTGAGTCACATATTTATTAAGCACAGGAGGGAGTGGCCCAGTGGATGTGAGGTGAAAGGAATTACTACCTTTCTGCATCACTGACACCAGGAGTTCATCTGAGGTGTACCAGGGTCAAGGGTGTAGGTAAAGCAGGCCTTGTCCCCAAAATGCAAGGAAGCTGTTGCCTGGCTTGTGTACTATAGGAGGAGGGTCTTTTCCCTGGGGTCATAGCTCTTGATTTATTCCAGGAACTTTTTCCTCTCCATTTCCTACTGATAACATTTTTACTTTTAAGAGTATTGTCATCTGTTTGAGCTTTTGTAATACTTCTTTTTAAAACTTCAGCTCTAATTAAGATGAAAATGGTATATTTATATAGTAGCTGCTCTAAGTTATTTTTTATTATTTTTTAAGATTTTATTTATTCATTTTTAGAGGGGAAGAGAAGGAGAAAGGGAGAGAAACATCAATGTGTGGTTGCCTCCTGCTCACCCTTTACTGGAGACCTGGCCCGCAACCCAGGCATGTGCCCTGACTGAGAGAATCGAATCAGTGACCCTGTGGTTAGCATCCTGCACTCGGTCTACTGAGCTACACCAGTCAGACTAAGTTAGTTATTTTTCATGTATTCATTTTCTAAAAGTCATTCAGTATCAGTTAACCACACCCACCTGGCTAGGTTACATTATTGCCGTTCCTACCAGAGGGGAAGGAGCAGACCTGCTCTCGGGCACCTAACGAACATGTGGGCTCAAGGCGAACATGTGGGCTCAAGGCGAACATGTGGGCTCAAGGCGATCCGACTCCAGAGCCCGGGCTCTTCACAGTACATGTGCCACCTCACGTGGAAGGGTGATTAGGAATGTTATCCAACTTTATTTTCTTTGGTTTTGAGATGGTAATGATTGGGGCGAGGGAGTATGGGATTTCCTTTAAACTAAGTGTTCCTCTAGGAGGAGGCATTTTGACATGCATATTTAGAGTTACTTTAAAAAGACTTGTAATTGCAGTACAAAATTACTAGCATAGCTATACTGCAGCTACATTTGATTAAATCATCCCTTTAGGTTGAATACTCATGATTTCTTAAGTGATGTATTATAATCATAGAGGTTCCTGCTACTCTGCAGAGTTGTTAATTAGTATTAAATGCTTACTATGAAAATTTTGTGCAAAGTTGAATCCTTGCTTACATTTTTCAGTTTTCTTAAAAAATTGCTTTGGTTTCAAACACTTCTTGTCTTGGAATGTCACCTTCTGTGAATAGTCCCTGTGATGGAGGCAAAATCAGACCTTAAATTTGGCCACTCAAATTTACTTACTAATAAATAGAGACAGGCCATGTGCTGATACAATAAGGGATTTGGCTCTGTCTGTAGGTAGGTGGGCAGATGCTGCTGTGGGTGAAGGTAACTGGCCTTGGTCACGAGAAGGAGCGCTGTGATCTTAGGTAGTTGGATTGTGGACATGTCTAGTCCAAGTCAGGGAACATGGGACAGCACAGCCTAGCGTGAAGAGGGAGGGAATTCCTGAACATGTAGCCTCTGCTTTTTCAAACCTGTTCCCTTTCCCTGCCAAGGTTCGATCTAGTACCATTGCAGACCTACTATGTTTCAAGATCACTTACGACCTCTTTGTGCTGAATCCAACATGAATAGTCTCTTTTCAGTCCTTCTGTCATCTGACTTTTCCTTTTGACCTTTAACAGCCACTGATTTCCTTTTTTTTTTTCTTTCCTGAAACACTTTTTTCCCTTGGCTTCCATGATGTTATTCTCATGGTTCAGTCTCCCTTGATTTTCTTTCTCATGGCTTCGGCTCTGACCTAGGTACTAATGAGAGCTCAGCCTTTCTCTCAAGCCTTGGATATCCACCTGAGTGTCCTGTAGACATTTTAATCAAACATCTAAACCAAACCCATCATCTTCCTCTCAGGTAGCACCTTCTCCCCTACATTCTCGTTTTCTTAATGATGTTCACCCAACACTCAAATGATAAACCTGAGTCATTTTTAACTTCCCCTTCACTTTTAGTCCCCCTCCCACCCCCCGACTTTTAGTCCTCCCCCTATAGACCTGTTGATGCAGCTGCTAACTTCTTAGTGTGTTTACCCTGACCTTTCCCTCAGTTCCCTCCACTTTGGTCAGGCTGTCATTATCTTTTGCTTTCACTGTGTTGTCTTGACAGCTTCCAGGTTCTTTTTCTCCAAGCCCATCTTTTGTATTCCTGCCAGAGCTGCCTCATGGAACTCAGATGTGATCGTGCACTTGACCCCCAAATCATTTAGAACAGAGAGTCCCCACTGTTGTCATCAGAGACCAAGTTTCTATCATGGCAGAGTAGTGGAAAGCACATGAGTCCTGGATTTTCACAATTTCATTTACTTTTAGTCTTTTCAGTAAGGGGGAAATGACTTAAGTGCTTAAAGTGATTTATTTGGAATATCTTCTAGACTTCCCAAATTGTATCCTGTTCTATAGCCACAACAAACCACTTTTCATTCCTAGAACACTGATGATGCTTTCATACTTCTCTGCTTTGGTCAGTTCTGTTCCCTCAGCTTGAATGTTCTTTTCTTCATTTTTGCAGGTGAGACCTCACCCACCATTTCCAGGTCACCAGAAATACAACCTGTTTGAGGCTTTTCAGCCATTAATTTTACATTTATCATCTTCAATTATGGTTAGATCTTTTTATTCAATTTTATTATTTTAGTTTGTTTTTATTATGTGTCAAACAATT